AAATGCATGCTTTAGTGGTAAAGAATGCAACTAATCTTTATTTTTATTTTATTTGCTTTAGACAGCTAACATCTCAAACAAGTGTGATGTTTTTTTTTGTTTTTTGGCGTTTTTTTTTTTAAAGAGATCATCTACTTAAGCTAATTGTAAAATTGGAATTCAAAAAAATGTGTTAATGTTTCGGTTCAGATTCTTCGACACATTTCAATGTAGGAGGAATTTTCAATTCCATTTGGATATATTGCTCACCTTTACAAAGTGTAACTCTATGATTTTTAAAATTTGAAATGCTTAATAATCTAAACGAAAATGAATGTACAGATTATTTGCTAAACTTTAATGAGTCTCAAGGCAGCATTCGTTAATTATCCAGTGAGAACTCATCTCAGCGATAACGTCTTGTGAAATCGACTTATAAAATAGTGAGTTATTATTGGTACTTATAAAAAATAAAGCTCAAGAGATAAATTGATAGTCTTATCCATATTAACTTCATGATATGCGCTAACGTTTGAATTTCCATCATTATTCCATTTTAAAATTCTGCTCAAAAATACGACAATTCCGGAATGACCGCGAGTGCCGCAAAGGTTAAAGCAGATATTATGTACCCTATGACAACAAAATAGATTCCAACTTCTGCTTTTTTAAGAGGCGTACCAAAGGACGGATTCATCGCCCAGTAGCAGATGAATTTGTGTTCATGTTGGCGGAAAATGAGTGAAAAGTATCTGGAGCAGCTGATTAACATCTAGTTTTATGTGAAGTTTTGTAAAAAGGTGTTAGCTCAATTAAAATGTCTTATGGCAAACATGCTATGAAGAAAGCAAATATGGCACAGGTGGCTCAAGGAAGGAGCGCAATGTCGCAAGAAGTTGGTCGTCAAAAACACACAAAAAATTTCAAATGAGGACAGAAGATTAAGATTGAAGATTAAGTGTGCGACTGATAACAGAACTGAATATGGATAGAGAAGCAGTGCAGCAGATTATAACAAGATTTGGGAATTAGAAAAATTGGCGCAAAGATGGTGCCTTAAACTTTGATTTATGAGCAGAAACAACGTCAGCTTCACGTTTCATCTTATCTATTGTATAATGCAGAGATGGTCGATACGGTCGTTACTTTGATTTTAACAAGACCCGGAAACAGAACATGCAGTTGAAAACTAGGAATTCACCGTCTCCGTAAAAATTCCCTCGTCTCGCTTGCTCTTCAAGACCGCATTGTTTCTTTGGTCATAACTGGATAGTTTATAAGACATTCTTGAAATAATATTAATCTGGCAGTCAACACGTTTATTTGGAAGTGCCAAAAAGGGTTACAAGAATCTGTTCAGAGGAATAGATAAGTACATTCTCCAGTATGACACTACTCTTGCGTTTAATGCGTTTGCAATTGGCGAGTTCCTGGCTACAAAATCCATTACAAAAATGGGTCAGCACCCTTCTTCTCCATACGTAGCTCCCACATGAATTTTAGCTATTTACAAAATTGAAAAATGCTATGACATGACAAAGATTTACTGAAATTAACGCGTAAAGACATTACTGAAAGGGATTCTGGAAAACGAGTTGCAAAAATATTTTCAGCTATGACACCATCACCTTATGTACATATCTTTTCAACGTAAGTACTTTTAAGTTGACAACAGCCAATTCTGACCAGGTAAACAAATCTTTGCTTTCACATGGCTATTCTGGGAATTAAATAGTCACTCTTCGTATAAATACCCAAATGGATGGATGAAAAGCATTTAATTTTAATAGCCTTTTATGTCTATATTGGCTTAAGTTCGGTTTTTTTATTTAATTTTCTGTTCGTGTTTTCTTTTCTTTTCAAATTTATATTCCTCAAAGCCAGTTAAGACATATACACGTCTCATAAAAATTATCAATAGAATGCAGTTTTATAAGTCATTAAATTGCATTTTGTTAAAAGTACTTTAAGGTAAATCTTCAATTTTTAATCGAATTTTATGCATCTTAAAAATATAACTCTAAAAAGTCAATACACTAAATGTTCTCAATACTGATCACGTAGAAGTATTGAGTCCAATATACAGTATTTCAATTTTGTTACCTCTTTTAAAACCACCAAGTTATTATCAAAACAAACAAAATTAATCTGTTTCTTTAATGATTGCATATAAGTGATGATTAAACATTTAAAAATGTTTTCATTTAAGTATTATTGGGACAGATTGCCTGTTATCTTGGATTTAAAATGTTCTCAACAGGAGATAGCATTTTAATGTAGCATTCATTAAATCTACATATTTTAAACCAATTTAAAACCGTCTTACATAAGTCATATTTTGAAAAAGATTTGTCTTCAAAATAAAATCCTTCTTGTTTGATAAATTACATTCTGCTTTTGTGATTTTACTCTGTTGATCATATCTCCAATGAAAACAGTGCAAAACTCTCTTAAGCAGAAAATGGATTTATATGGAATCATGGAAAACAGAAGAGTTTCAAATAAATTCTAACAAAGGAATTTTATTTTTTCTTGTATAAGAATTGAACAGACAAATACCTGAATTGTTTATGAAAGAAATCAAAAAGAAGTCATTACGACTACTTATGATACTTAATATCAATATATAAGTGTCATATATATTTTATTAATTATTATTTTCACAACTTATGTCACTACCGCCATCACCGCCAATATTTAATAGCATGTATTCTAACTTTTTTTTTACTAAGTTTTTTTTTATTTCTAAATATTTTCGTTTCGGTATGTATTTTTCTCTTTTTTATTCTCCTTCAGCCTAACTCTGATTCATACTGGCATTGGCAATTTTAACATTTAATTTATCTTGAAATCTTCTCCTTCTTCTTCTTCTTATTATTATTATTGTTATTATTATTATTTAAAAAGACACTTAACATTATCGAAAGAATAACAAAATATCTAAAATGGACAAGAAAAATAAAAGTTAAAATAATCGAAGTAATTACGTAGAAGGGTTTCTTTGTCATTAATTTCAAATATTCCAATATGTATCGAATATCACGTATGCTACTGAACCATTCGATCTTGCATTCTTCTTCCCCGCATAAAATTGAGTAAAAACGTGAAAGAAAAAGACACTTCATTTAAGATATAGAAAAATTGCATCTCTAGTATAATAGGATTGTGACCAAACATTGTACTAGAAGCTCACTGTTAGGTTTGTTAACAATCATTTTTTTTTCGGTTCACTTATAAATTTAAACTGAATCTAACACTAAGCAATTCTTCTTGAGCCTCAGTAATCTCAGTAAGATAATGGTGCACAATTTGTACAGATTCATTTGTGCAATGCAGAGCAGAGAGTTTTCAAAATATCTATAGCAAGAGCAAAGTGAAATTAGGAGTTGTTATTTTACACCTTCCAATCGTATGTGAACACTTTTTCGTTCAGAGGTAAACATCGTTCATATCTTAAGTTTCTAAATATCACTAATATTAGAAAGATTAATAGTAAGTTCTTGTCATTAGAAAAAAATATACATGTAAGTATTTTCAAACCAGTTTCATAAGGGTCAATGCCTAAGAAGCAAAATGAATTAAGAAGCAAAATGAATTAAGAAGCAAAATGAAATGCCATATAGTGTGCCATATAAAGGAAACTGCTTCCCGAATGAAAAACACAATAGCTATTCATTGTTGAGTTAAAGAAGAATATTCAATTTGCGCCAACACATGTTATCGCATTTTTATTTCGTATTTTATAATTGCATAAGTTCTTTTTTCACATTCGTATCTAAATCAGAATGAAATAACTTTAGACAATCCCAATCAACATTATTGTTTAATCTAAATTAAAATATATCCGATACCATTAGAGAAATATATTACAATCACGCAGATATCTCCATTAAATAGTGTTGTACAGTTGCCATGGAATACTGCATTATGAATATAACATGTCTCCTGATGTTACAAAAAATTCTAGATTGACAAATTGAAGAAATACAATATATTCACTTGAAACTAGTAAGCAAATATTGATAAAAATAAAAGGAAGTGGAATGAGTAACAACAGATTAGAGGATTAATTATTTAAAAAAATCAAATAGTTTAGAAGCATAAACAGGAGAGAAAAGCATAGCAAAATCATAGATCAATACTTGAAAAGAATATATTCGTGTCGGCCTCCGATTCTACAAGATAAAAACTGCTCAAAATTGCAACACAATTAAGAACTGTAATATTTCAATGACTGACATTATTATAAGAGGATTTTTTCGGAGAGACTCTTCTTTTAATGTGCCATGTTTTTTCAGGACGTGGGCGATCATGTCTCTCCACCTCCCTATATCCCTTGCAGCACTTAACAACTTCCTTCCCTGTGCCATCTCCCCCAGACCACGTTCTGTCATCCACTTGCTCAAGCCCGTATGCGTTGTTTTCCTTTGTCTCTCTTTCCCTCTATTCAACCCATGAGTATCTGATTCTGCAGGCCCTCCTTCATCAGAAACTTCAGCTGCCTTGTTTAGTATAAGCCTCCTCCTTGTTTGCAACCTCTCTAAGACTTCATCGTTGCTCACAAGCTCGGTCCATGTCTAATGCTAGAGTCATCTAAGGCTGTCAGCATTTCCGTTACGATTCCGTCTGTCCCGGCTGCTTTGTTTCTGTTCAATTTGGCCAGTGCGGCTTTTACTTCGGTTTTCAGAATTCCATGTCCGTCGGTATTTCTGTGTATTGCTGGTTGTTCTCTTTCGTCGTGGATGAGTTCTCCAATATACTTGCTTCAGTGTTGAAGAATTTTTTTCCTTGTCTAATATGAGTGTTCCACCCTTTGATTTTAGGCAACCTGTTGATGAGCATATCTTCTGTCCTGTTAGGTATTTTATTTGTTTGGGCATATCTCTTTTGTTGGTAGTACTTAATCTTTCTATCTCTGCACATGTTTCGTTTAGCCACCCTTCTTTAGCTTGCCTGCATCTGTTCCTCATTTCATTGTGTAATTTTTTGTACTCCCCCATCCCCGCCAAAGTGACTTGGACATGCTGCTTGCACCCCCACCTCTTAGCTTAACCAACCATATCGCATTTGGTTATTTTTTAAATGGAGACTTTTCACTAAATGACCATCGCTTCGAGGTTAGCAAGCTTGTCATGAAATTTGAATTGTAGAATCTCATTTCCATGTTTTGATGTATTGATATAATAAATATTGTATAATAAATATTTTGTAGCATTTTTAAAATTTAACTTTTAATTTTCAGACCAGTTATATTAATTTGTAAATGTAAAAAAAAAATCATGAATAATCTGGATGACTTCGGAGAGACTCACTATATCTATTACACTTCTCCATCTCTATAATACTGTTAAACATACTTTTTAGATAAAATATGTGGTATTAATTCTGTGTAAAGACTAGCAGCAACACAAAACGCATTAAAACCTATTGAAAAACAGAATATGCAGTGTGAATCGAAACAGTACTTCCTTCAAGGATGTGATCATAGAACTTAGATTTATAGAAGTTTGTTGTACATAATTTTGTACATAACAAAAGAAAAAGAAACACCATCAGAATACTGAATATAAATGAATTATACTCAAACTCGTAAAGATTAGCGGGTGACTTCACGAAAAAAAGATAAGCTAATGTATTTTAAAAGCGTCAGAAATCTAATGAAAATTTTAGGATACGCTCATAATGAGATTCACAATACTTCATTATGGAACTCAACTAGTGAGACAATCACATTAGAAAATTAAATACGAGTAATAGCCTGCATATAGTGCAGAGACTGGAAAATAAAATGAGAAAAACAGAGTATTGAAAGGATAATGATGTCAGGTATAAATAGCCAAACAAATTATAAACAGACAACATTTGAGACATTACAGAAAATTTTCTGATATATATATATATATATATATATATATATATATATATATATATATATATATATATATATATGTATATATATATATATATATATGTGTGTGTGTACGTTTTATATATGAATGGCTCATTTTAATTAACTCATTTACTTCGAATTATTTCAGTTTATCATTTATGTTTTATTTTACTTCGACGTTTATGATAGCACTGAATAGTTCGTACTTGTGTTCATATCAAAAGTTGTCATTTACCAATTAATATTCTGCATCCTAACAATAATCACAATTCCTCTCGAATTACTGACAAATATTTCATAGTGCTTTTTGAATATATCTTATTTGGAGATTATCTTGATAACAAGCATGACACTAATTACCTTAATAGTAGTAGTTTCAAATGTTGATAGGATATATTATTAATTGAAATAAGTATTAAATTGTTACTAATCGTTACTTGAATAAAAATTATAAATGTAATTTTTAAAGTTTCCCTTTTAAGTTTGTTTTGTAATCTTTTTTCCTTTTTTTCTTTTTTGAAGTTTTTCTTTCTTTCTTTTTTCTTTTTTAATGTTAAATCCTCCCTACTTGTTTTTGTCTGCTTCATTTCCTTTATCTTAGCTTGATTTGATATCTTCCTCTTTATCGGTCCCTGAATATTCTCAACCAATCCATTAAAGCGATACAATACTTTGCATCATTTTCTATTTCGGATAACTCCACCCAACATAATTTCACTTTCCATACACTCCCCCTCTTGTATTCTCAACATTTTGTCTTTCCCTCTTTCAAATTCTCTTCACTCTCTGCTTTTCTGTCTCTGTCTGCCCGTCCCCGCGTCTCTCTCTCTCTCTCTCTTTCTCTCTCTCTCTTTCTCTCTCTCTCTTTCTCTCTCTCTCTTTCTCTCTCTCTCTCTCTCTCTCAGTTACTCAACTTATATGTGTGCACTCTTAAAGAAAAAGATACATGAACAATATCAGTCTTGTTCTCACCATGCCAACAATTTTTCTTCCCATATGTGTTTGCATGTGTGTGCGTATGTCCGTATGCATGCGCACGCGCGTGTATGTGTGTGTATGTGCACGCGCAAACGCACATGTTCGCACATGTGTTTGTCTACAAATATTGACATATACATTCATGTGTATCTTCTTTTTTTCTTTTCTCACTTGTATTTCCAAGATGTATTCTGCTTACATATTGGGTTCAGAGACTTCATATTAGAATGATCAGTAGGAGGTGGCCTAGGTTTATAAGCATCGCCCGAGCAGTTTTTGTTCACATCAACCAAAACTTGAGAGTGTTGCAGCATCCTACAAATTCTTCATCAATAACCGCGCTGTCACACGAACTTTTTGTCAGGTTAGTCATGTTTTGCTTCTTTTTTACTTTGATTTTTTATCAATTTGTTTCTTTCTTAAATCATAAAGACTTTGACCTTTGAACAATTATTTTGTTTTAGGGAAGGAAATATGCGATTTTTCTTGTTCTAAAAATTGATTTTAATTAGAGTTGTAATTATTATCAACGATTAAGTTGAAACTAATTTAAGAGTTATGCATATCTTTCAAATTCAACGAATAAAAATCAGTTGATTGAACTGGAAAAACTTGACCAAATTCATGTGATGAATTCTTTGTTGAAGTATAGATTTTGATGTTTAAGTTATCAGTTATGTTTACCTCTAAATTAAAGGAAATCAAATTTTCTTTATCTTAACTATGCAGCTAGATTTCAAAGTGTCCATATGGTGAAAATATGTCTTTACTATACAGCTGTGTTTTAAGAAACTTGTAAATTAGAAATTTACTAATTGCTTTAAAAAAAAGATATTTTAAATATCTTTTTTTTTAAGCAATTAGTAAATTTCCAATTTACAAGTTTCTTAAAAGCTAGCAAAATTAAGTTCATATTTTCTTCAGTAACAAAACTTTAAACTACATTAAATTATAGCAGATACGATTAAAATTTTTCCTCCCATCTTAAAAATAAGAATCACCGAAGAATCTACAATTTTGATCTGGATGTGCAACAAATATCCAAAAATTAAAAAAAAAAAGGAAATGAAAAATTTAAACAGAGAGAACTTATCGGTTGCATATAACAAAACTTTATTATTGTTGCTTAAATAAGCAAAATAAATATCAATAAAAATAAATAAGAAATAATAAAAAGATACCCTAATATAATAATCGGAATTAAGAAAAAGAAGAACCTATAAAAGCGTGAACGTGGCGACAATGGCAGAAGAAAGTGAACGTGAAGGAGAGTGAAAAAGTAGAGAAATACCAGGACCTTGCATAGGAGCAGAAGAAGATGTTGAATATGAAGGTTAAAATCGTGCACATAATCGTGGATGCTTTTGGAATCCTATGAAACACACTCAAATTCATAATATGAAATTACAAAAAAAAAACAAAAAAACTGGAGATCAAGGCATTGCATGGCAAATACCTAAAAAGAAGTAGATGTGGACCAACAGAAAACACATTAGTGACTGAGGAGCACCGGGTTGAAAGCTGAGACGGAAGGCCTAATTATTGCACTCCGGACCAAAGCCTCGCAACCAGATCCTATCACTGTCACATAATCTAGGATGGAACTAACACGAAATGCAGGATCTGTGGAAAATATGATGAAACTATCGGCCATATTATCTCAGGATGTCCGTAACTGGTAAAAAGGAAATATACCCACAGATATAACAAGGTAGCGACATATGTCTACTGAAAGATATGTAAGAAGCTTAAAATCAAAACCACTGAGAGATGGTATGAGCACCAACCAGACACAGTTACCCAAAATAACGATGTAACTATCCTCTGAGACATGTAAAATCAAACTGACAGGGAAATAAAAGACAACAGACCTGATATTATCATAAAAGACAAGAAATTCTGGAAGTGTATGCTTATTGACATAGCAGTACCATCTGAGAGAAACACCTCTATGATATGAAAATTATCGAGAAATTATTCAAATCCAGTGACCTGCACATCGAGATTAACAGTCTGAGACTGTACCAATAGTAATCGAAATTCTGGGCCTTGTGAGAAAAGGAATGGACAATTATACTAATAGTATCCCAGGTAACATCAACATGCAGGTTACCCAGAAGATTGCCTTATCAGGAACATCTCATATACTAAGAAACTGCTATCAGTTCTCCTATAGGGCCTAAGGGCCATAGTTTGGACCCGGATCTACAGGATACAAAGCAGGAAACATAACATACTCTAATAATAATAATAAATAACCACTGGAGACTATATGTCAGAAAGTACCCGCACATTTCCAACAGCACTACTGAGATCTGAATGGTTACAGTTCTTTGATTTTCTATTTTGTACAGTCTCGATTGTAGTTTTATTTATTTATTCATTTTTGCACAATTCCACTTCTGTCAATTATAACTAGCACGACTCTAAACTTTTCAAAATTTACGCATTTCCAGAGCAAGATCTGATTGACAGCAATTCTGCAACATCCACCTCGATTTTTCACCTGTTTTCAGTCATGTCATTGTCAAGATGGTATAAATACTTACACGCACATCCTGCAAACTTTTCTCGGGACATTTCGGGACCATTCCTAGTCTTCTTCTAACGACGAGCCAGAACTAACAATTGTTACGTTCATTTTCCATAATTTATTCACTTTTTTGTTCTTGTCTGAATTGAGCAATCCATTGGAATTTCAAAATTATCAAAGAATATTTGTATTTTTATATTCGAACTTAATTTCTGGTTTGTACATATACACCATTGATATGTATAGTCGAATCATAGCCGTTTACGCAAATCACAGTGGATCACTCTTTCCACCCAATCTTACACTTTTTGCTTACTTGGTTGATATTCTCAGCATATTCTGAATCTGCCTTTCTCCTGCGTCTCTTGATTTTGAGCCTTTATATAAATTATTATTATAGCATTGTTCTAGGCTGCCACAAAAAGAGATCTGTTTTTCCTATATATTTCTCAACATAACTATATCCATGTTGCTTTATCTGCAAGTCTTTCCATTTGACTTTGCAATTCCGAATATTTGATATCCGTTTTTTGTTTGGTTTTCGAGTTTACTGGTTATTTCTTTGGCCTCCTATTAATTTTCATAATTTAGCATCAAAAACCGAGTCGTTTTCTTCTTCTTTATTTTCAAGTATAATCTGTCGACATTGTCTCTCATGTAAAAGAAAGTTTCCTGAATATCTCACAAAAGATGTATTTATTTCTTTAATCAAATTTCTACAGGAAAGTTTGATTTTTAATATTTTTCTTTCAAACTCAACCTACTAATGCAAAAAATGCAAGTTCCTTCATCGGCAGAATATATTTGGCCAATCATTTGTGACAAAAATGATTCTTTCTTTGCGGCAATGTATCATTTATAGCTTGTATCATTCTGGCCAATTAATTCTTAATCTGATCTTCCATTCTAAGTGAATTTTTTTCAACTTTAAGTGACAAAGGATAAATGACGAAGAATAAAAACAAACATTTTTATTGATCTTGTGAACAAAGATTATATCCCAATATTGGTATAGAAAAATTTCCGGTGTCCATAAACACTGGATCTCACGGATCTGTGCTAATATTTGCCACCAATATAAAAAAAAAAATCTTGATTAATTAGTTTTCAGACATTCGCTATCATTGATCATGGATTTTTGAAGATTTCTTTATTTCTTGGATTGACTGCTATGCACAAAAGATTAATGTTCTTGAAAACGCACACACATAGCTGCACATTTGATGTACAAACCAATCGAGGAATATTCCCATGAAAAAAATTACTAATACTCAAAAATATCATTTCACTATTTTTTTAAGTAAGTTCTTTTTTTATATTCCCCATATAATATAATTTAAAATTATTCCTTCTTCTATGTTTAATAAAAGCATATAGAATAAACATTACATTCTTAAATAAGGTCAAAGATAACTTGTTTTTAAATATAAATACCAATTTCTTGATTATTGCTCTGTTGGTGCTCCGTATTTCCTCAATTTTTTTTTCGCGCGTTTTAGGGTGAAATTATACAGTTTCTGTTATGACCTATGACTACAGTGCGTAAATAAACGCCATATTCATTAGGTTTTAAGTAAAAAGTATACATTACTCTTGCAAAATCCAGTGAATTAATCTCTAAAATGAGTGACTGGCTTTGAAACAGATGTCTAGAACAAATATTGGATTTTAAAATTTGGTGCTTATATTTTTCGTCTATATTGGCGGTCACTGTTTATTTATTTAGATTCTTTTAATACGGATTAGCATTAGGCTATTATTTTTCAAATAAAATCAAAATTTAACTTCAAAGGTGACAATTAAATGATTTAAAATGCGTTTTTCGGTTCTCTGATTTTGGTGAGTTTTTAAGAAGTTCGTGGTGGTCCCTAGTACATATTTTAATATTTTGATATTTATAGCATGTAAAATTAATATAAGTTTTTCTTACCATTTTTTAAATATTTATGTACTAATCAGTGTGGCCAAAGCGTACTATTATAGAGAGTACTAATTAATTTAAATTTGTTAACAATGCTGTATGTCAGATAGGTTAAATGATTAAATAAGTAAACATATAGCTTAAATGCTTAAAGACTTCTTAACATAACCTTAAAGAAAGAGGGTAAATATTTATTCTTAACTTCAACATCAACCAGAAACATATGAAACACGCACACACACGCGTGCGGGCACGTACACGCAACACTTACGAGCGCGCGCGTGTGAGCAAAAATTTCTACTTAGACATATTTTGCGAATGAATCTACATTAAAAGACAAAACGTGATTAATATTCAACTTAATATTTTTTTACTTTAGCTGCATCGTTATAGAAATGGGAGTTTATCTATTTTCAAAACTGTTTTTTATATTACATTTAAGTTCACAGATTCGCTAAAAATGATAATACCATTGAGAAATAAAATGTCCCAAAATGAATAAAAACAAAATGTTATTGTCAAAATCTTTATATTATTAACCGGAAAGACCAAAAGATTTTTTGATTATTAAATTATATGTTTTTAATCCTTTTTAGAATGTTCGAAATTTTGATTTAAAATCTTGTTTTTCGTGCGTCTGCGGGGTAACCAAATATTAGTATAGGAAATTTTAGCGTCTTTTTTTGCGGTGGAAAACACATTGATTTGGAAATTCTTCAAAAAATCAAATAATTGTCAGAAACTTCCAGTACTTATTCACAAATAAATTAAATGATTTTGAAAAAAGTTTTTAAAGAAAATCTTAGTAAAAACAGTTTCTTTACATCTGTTAACCGCCACATTTAAATTTATGAAATTTCGAGAAAATTAATTTTTGTGACGATTAATATAGTTATACGCAGAACTCCTT